TGTCTGAGCCAAAGGCTGAAGTAGACGCAGCCCTGAGTGCCAGTGGGAAAAATGAGCACAGTCACGAGCAGCTTCATGCCTGCATTGGAGTGTCTCTGGTCCTGGGCTTCGTCTTTATGCTACTGGTGGATCAGATAGGCAGTTCTCATGTGCACAACACTGAAGGTCAGTTAAACGGGAGACCGCAAAAGATTAAAGCATCCAACGCACTTGTTTCTTAGAAACTATCTGTACACAGGTCCATAATGTCTAGAGACCAAGTTTGTGAATATAAGGTTTGGTGACAGCAGCTTATGTTCTCTGGAAGAAAATTATTTTGTTGAGTTACACCCAAAACACCCCCAAATGGCTCAACTGCTAATTCTGTTTTCCCAGATGCACCCACGCTCGGCACCCAACACTTTTAGAGCTTCTTGTATGAGCAGCTAATGCTCTGCAAACTGTTTAGCAAAGTCTGCCAACAAGTGATGCCACACAGTTCTTGCTCACTGTGAGAGATGCTGTTCAGTCATTCTCACTTGATTTTACCTTTTTATATAACATAAAAAAAATCATTGCAAAATGTTTCTGGTTATTTTTGTCTCGTTTAGATCCAGAGTCAGCCAGGGTCAACTCAAAAATCACCACCACCCTGGGTCTTGTGGTCCACGCTGCAGGTAGGCTTGTATTTGAATAGTCATGGTCTCATGCCTTATAGTGATGGTACAAGATAAGACTTTTGTTATTAGTCTAAATAACAATTTCATGCTTGTGTTTGACTTTGTGTAAACATTTACTGACATTTCTCTTGTACTTGTTTACTGTTGTTCTCTGCTATACCTGAATGTTCTTGTTTAATCCCATTGAGTTTCAGACTTGCTGTTATTTAGAAAATAAAACAAATGTTGTTATTTAAAGCGTCTGAGCAGTTTTTGTCTTTTTCTTTGTCAGAACTTTGTTAATGACTTTGTACTAATGAGCAAATATTAAAAGTATCTCAGTAGCTCTATCTCTCTGTCTCTCTATCTTCAGCTGATGGGGTGGCACTAGGAGCCGCTGCCTCAACCTCTCAGACAAGCGTTCAGCTCATTGTCTTTGTAGCTATTATGCTACATAAGGTAATAATGGTTCATATCTTTACAAAAAAAAGTCATTTGAAAATGTTTTAGGAAATGGTGATTGGCACTTTGTTCTGATATTGTATAGGCCAAGTGAGTAATCAATATTATTGTAAATGTGAACTACTGCTCTGTTGTCTGCAGGCACCAGCAGCGTTCGGCTTGGTATCGTTCCTGATGCATGCTGGTCTTGAGAGGAACCGCATCCGCAAACATCTCCTGGTCTTTGCCCTGGCAGCTCCTGTCCTTGCCATGCTCACCTTTTTAGGCCTCAGTCAGGTAAATATCGCAATGTGTTGTGTGTTTTTGGAGCTTCATGGTGGGACTTTGGACCCGTACTTAAATATGATATGAATCTTTTTTTATTAATATATATTTGTGGAGGGTTTTGGTTTTTGAATCATTCATTCAGTTCTTTCAGTGCCACCAAATGCAACTCCTTGTGTTCCTTGCAAATCTCTTCTTGAGGCAGGAAGTGTATTTCTTGTCTGATGTTAAAGATCTATTAACTTAGAGTACCCAGCCTAATGCAAACCACCTTTCATCGTCTTAGAAATAAATATAAATAATTAAAAAGAAAATGCCCCAGTCAAATAGCAGTCAGGGTTTTGTCTTTTAGGAAATTGTTATGGCTGGTTAGTCTTTGAGACTACATGAAACGTTTACCTGACATGTGTTTGATAAGATGGACGGTTAGCCATAAAAAAAAAAAATCACAAAAAATGACATGCCGTAACAAATAATTTTCATCAAAAGTTGAGCCATCAGAACAAATGGTTCTCTATGCAATTAAATAGAAACTACAACAGATGGGAAAAGCATCCCGTTGAGTACACATTCAAAGAAAGTCCGCTACAAATGCATGTAGGGCAGACTCACTGATAATACCCAAAAAAGAGCACGATACTTTCTGATGCACCTCAGATCAAGTCCCCAAGACTCCTTTGAATTCAAGACTCTTTAAAACTCAAGAGCTGAACCCTGAAAAGAGTTCCTTATGCCAGCTAGTCCTGAGATGAACAAATCCTGCAACATGTCACACACACTTTTCTCAAGCCAGCCTTGCTTTAAAAACATCAGTTAGAATAAACCAAATGATCACTCAAAGGAAAAAATACTATTTGGAACATTGGGAGGAAGAGACAAAAAAACAACACAAACTAGATTGTTATCTGGCCCTAAACATGAGAGGATTATGAAATATCTCTCTACTGTGAGAGATATCAAGCAGAGGAAGCTTCTTACCAAGTACAGACTCGGTGACCCTTGCTATTGATAAAGGGAGACATAAAAAGGCCTGGTTACCAAGAGAATATAGAGTCTGTGAGCGCTGTACGACAGGTGATGTGGAGACAGAGACCCATTTTTCTCCTGAAATGTCATGAATAAAAGCAGAGCAATATATTAAGAAATTCCATCTAATAATACCAGATTTCAAAGAATTTCAAGATGAGAATAAATTAAAAATAATCCTAGGAGAAGGATATCTTGTGTCCCCTGTGTCACAACCTGAGGGACAGCGAGTGACTCAGTGAACTGTTGCACGAAGCGTTCGCTGCATGGCAGGTTACATTTAGTTCATTCTTGTTTGTTGTTTACATTCTATCTGCATTTGTTATTTTTTGTTGTAACCTATAATTGCTAAACTGAATGGTCATGATTGCATTAATTCTTATGTTATATACAAAATGTAAACTTTGTGATTTTGCCACAAACCGCTTTAGCAACATTGTTTAACTGAAACATTCATGAAATAAAACATATTGAACTGAAAAAACTGTTTTTCTTTTCCAGAACACACATTTAGACATTTTGCCTGACAGTGTTTTTTGTTTTGCTCCCCTCCTCAGAGCAGCAAGGAGGCACTGTCAGACATCAATGCCACTGGTGTCGCCATGCTTTTCTCTGCTGGCACCTTCCTCTACGTGGCCACTGTCCACGTCCTCCCTGAGGTAGGAGGTGGTGGCCACAGCCACGCTCCCAGCGTAGGCAACGGAGGCAACGGTGGCAAAGGACTGAGCAAGGTGGAGGTGGGAGCTCTGGTACTGGGCTGCCTCATTCCTCTGGTGCTGTCCGTTGGTCACCACCATTAGACCCAGCCCTCATAACTGACTTTTAAGGCGGGTGTACAGGGGAATGAAGTGAAAACGGAGATCCCAAATGTTGTGGGTCTAAATGTCTTATTGCTTGTTGTCTCCTGATGGACCTCGTGGACCAGACTGGTGCTCATTGCGGGGACATCTTATGACTCGAAAAATGACCTTGAATAAGAAAATGAATGATCAGAGTTGCTACAGTGACAACCAAGGCACACGAGTATGTTTTTCTTTTCTTTTTTTCTGATGACGAAACCTCTTACAACTATTGTATGTGTCCATTTATTCCACCAGAAATCTGTTTTTAAGAGAGGCCCAAGCCGAACCCTTTAGCTCTGTTTATTTTCAGTGTTGCATTATTGTGCTTGTCCAAAGTGAAAGAATTGATCCTGATTTCATTAGTAATGTTTTACTAATGGCAGTTGCACAGTGAGATTTGGAAGCCTGTGATATCGAAAAAACAAACTCTTTTTTTTATATATAATTGTACAGTGTGTAAGTCTCTTTAGCAACAATCCAGATTAATTTGAACCTGATTTTCAAGTGCCATATTAGGAACAGATACCTGACAAGACGGCGCCGTAAGGACGTTCCAATTTGTAGAAAATATTCCTGGCTTATTTTCCTAACGGAGATCTTTTTCTCGCAGCCAATGATGAAGCAGGATGAGTGATCAGCCCGAATAACCAGCCAGATGCTCGTAACAATGTTTGCTTTGGCTAGTAAGTTTATCTACAAAGTGACGGTTTGTCTTGGTAAAAAAAAAATGACGAGCAGTTTCTTGGCCTGATTGGAAACCTATTTATGATGAATACTGCAGGTGTATGTCTCCTTTTTAAAACTATATGTTTCATGGACTGATCTGCTGAAACGCAAATCCTGCGTAAGGAAAAGACACAACCAGCCTTGATGTATCACAACCTGAACTATCACTTTTATTTTATCTGTTTAGTTTCTGGATTTATATCTGTTCTGCTTCACTTGGAGAGTAATTATAAATAGAGGTTGCAGGAAAAAAACTGTATAGAATTGTCTTAAGTGATTGTATAGAGTGTTAGCGCTTATTCAGAGGTGGAGGTTACTTCAGCAGCTCTGAGTGAATTTGCCTCACAGAGGGCCTTTACTGTATGAAAACATCTAGGGACCATCGGCTCAGGAGAACGGACATGTTGCAGCCCCAGTGATTAGAATTTTGAACAAATGTTTATTTTTAGCTTTCAAGTTGATTTACCCCTCGTTAATTAATCACACTTGAGCAATAATCGTACACATGAAATTGGGGCAATGCCACTTCTTCCTCAGGAGTGCAGCAGTGTCTGAAATGGTTACAGAGGGTTTGCCTTCATCTTCAAAGGGTTTGTTATGTCATGTCGAAACTCTTGAACGCAGCCCTGCTCTGACACCCCTGTTTCTGCCTCAGTACCATTAAAACAGTAACAGGTTGATGCATTAAAATGGAAGTAGGATGCTCCCTCTCTTATCGGGGCACATGGATATTGTGAGTGTTACTGTATCACTGCCTGCTCACAGCAGTGTGCATGTATATGTATGTATGTGTGCTGTACAGAGTAACTTCTTCCTTCCACATCATCATGATCTCTTGTGTGAGATGGAACTGCTTACTCGCAAATACAACTTCTTTTTTTAATTGGACATTTTGGACATTGATGGACTGTTCTTTGCAGTACTGACACATGAGGCGACAGACTGTCTGAGGAGTCTCTGTTTTATGTATGAACGATTTTACACACACGCTTGTCAATTAATTCCAGTTACATGGCGGGAAGAAACCCACTGTGATGTTTTAGGCTTTCTTTCATGACAGGGAGGGGTTGTTCGCTTGCAGACCAGCAGCTGCATGATCTTTTTATGGGACACTGTGTGTACTAAAGGATACCCCCCCTCCAGGCAGGTGGGAGGACAGGCCCGTTATGCCACCGTCATCCTTCTAAACAATGTTGCATCAGAGTCCCTGCTGAGATTTGGCATTTAGTCTAGTTTTTTAAAAATTAATTCGTCTGCTGATGTATGTGTTTAGGGCTGCAACTAACAGATTATTTTCATTATCTGTTAATCTGTTGATTATTTTCTCGTTTAATCGTTTGGTCTAAAAAAAAAAAACCCAAAAAACGTCAGAAAATTGGGGAAAATGTTCCCAGAATCCAAGAGTGATGTCTTCAAATGCTGTTCTTTGTTTAACCAAGTGTCCAAAAACTCAATTATACCCAGTTTACTATCATAGAACGCAAAAAAAACAAGAGAGATTTGAGGCACAAACCATAGCATTTTAGCTTTAAACATTACTTAAACGATTATCAAAATTGTTGTAGATTAATCTTCGGTCACTGGCGACCTGTCCAGGGTGTACCCCGCCTTGCGCCCGATGTCAGCTGGGATTGGCTCCAGCCCCCGCGACCCTGTACGCAGGATAAGCGGTTGACGATGGATGGATGGATTAATCTTCGGTCGATAAACCCATACTATTTAGTGTGTCCCAATACATAGAATGTCAAATGTATTATGCCAAAAATACCAGGACGTCCTACTGCAGCTGGTTGCATTTTGCGGCATGCAAGCGAGCATGCTTTTCTGAATATTCTGACCCACAATCCTCTGCGCAGCATGAGTATGAGCAAGATTCAAGGCACAATGTTAGGATGTAGTAGTATCTCCCAGTTGTGTGCATACTGCATGCAACAGTATGTACTTCGTAGGGGCAGCACTAAAAGTACAAAGAAAAAGTATGTGAATTTTAAAGCAAACTGTGTTTAAAATAGGACTTGATTTGAGTGTTGTTAAACTCTGATTGGTGCATGGAAGTATGTGACAATGCCTTTTTCCTGTTGAGCCCCGCCAGCTTCAAACCAGTGAGAGGAGTGCAGAAAAAAACAGACATCTAATGAAATTACCACAATGGTTTTGTTTGAGAAAATAGGTATTTAAGGCCTGAAGAACGACGGAAGTAGTTATAAAAGTAAAATTAAATTAAAATCAAAATGTAGTTTAGCAGGTTATTTATGTATTGTAAGCTTATCAGTGGCTAGCTATATTTGAGAGACATGCTGGTGTCATATCAATCTCCTGTGAAAACGATGTTTCTCCTAATTTGGTGGTGATTATATTTTGCTGACACGTGCGAAGAACGTTATACTACATCTTTATAGGAAAGGTTCTCATTTTTTTCTGGCTTAAGACAATACACATACCATTATTGGTTACTGTAATTGTTCCTTCTCTCCATACTGGCAGTGAAAAAAATCCTTCATAATGTGATAAGGGACAAAATCCTTGTTCTGCAAAAAAAAAAAAGGCGAGCCAAAAGAGCCAAAGCCAAATGAAGCATCAGGAGTGTGATGCAGTAGACAACCCAAGTGGGTCTCTTCCAGAGTTAGTATTTTTACTACAAAATTGTTTTATTGTGCCATCAACAGATTTTAAACATTTAGAAAATACTAACCTGACTCGTCCAACTTGGACTACTAAAGCCTCATTTTAGCTTTGGCTGAACTTTTGAATGTAGCTTTACACTGAACGACTATGTTCTGCCCCCATGTGTTTGACTGGAATTGGGAAGGGATAACTTCATGGGCATTATGGACAGGAGGATTGATTACAGCGAGCAATACATTTTGCAGTGTACAATGGGTACCTGACCATTTTAAGAGAAACTTGGAAAAAAATGTGATCCTTTTAAGTTAAATAAACCTTTTAAACCCAAAAGTATAATCCGAAAAGTGCATCGTCACAAAACTGAAAACACAGCTGTTTTCTGTAGCTCATGTGAAGTTGAGGTTTGGAGTTTTCACAGGACAGCAAAATGATTAAATACGGTTTAGTCTACAATGACGCAGGACAGAAATAATGTTCATGATGTTTAGTCTTTCAAAGAACATCCTTCATCCTTGCATGCTGATTGGCTGATTGCACCTGCGCTAAGTAAAATGACAAACTTGCCGAGCTCAACACTTCACAGACTCAGGTTTTTCTGTGGTTGTTTGACCAATCAAAATCAAGTCTGTGGTCTGAGTCTGATCATCTTAAAAATTTAGTAATAACCTCATTTACATGTAATCACACAGACTCGCATTCAGTATCTGCACTTAACATGTTTGATAGGTGCATATATGTGAAAATTAATCTATAGAAACCCTTTAAACTGGCAGATATCTGCAGGTGGAGTTTGATGCATCAGCTCCGACACAAGCAGGAAGAGATGACGGCACATGTTGGGGCTGATTGAAGGTTTTAGTTTGTATCAGGAGAGTTTTAGGATCTGGTTAATATTTGTAATAAAACGTGAAATGTTTTTGGGGGGGTCAGTGTGTCGCTCTTATTTTTATTTTCTGTCATTCCAGAATGAGTCTGCCTTATTTCAATACTTTTGATTGTGAAATTCAGTTGTGAAACAAGTTTTATGATGAATAAATTAAAGTTGTTTTTTTTTTTAACTGGTGAAAATATTTGCTTATGTTTTGATGATTTAAGTCGTTTTCCTTTAAAGGAATATAGCAGGTCAATAACCTTTCTGTTTACCCCAATTTCAGGTGGAATTGATTCATTTAAATGTTTGATTTTAATGCACTTAGCAGCAATTTATATTTTATTCATCAAGGTAAGAATTTAAGGATTATCACACTTACTTTTGGCAACTTTATTTTCCTCTTAAATTAGATGTAAAAGGCTTTTCTTCCCTGACATGACGTTTTACTTAGAAATTTTATGCAGGCTCATGCGTTTCTCTGTTGAGACTGAGTTGTAAATATCGTTATAATCTGCTGTCCATCCACTCTGACACATGTTCTGTAAATTAATCTGAAACTCGCGATGCTGAGATAACCACTCTGTCTCTCCATCCTCTTTACCAGGAGTCGTGCAGCCACGCCTCTGCTGCTACAGATGTTCTCCTAATTCACTGCTGGAGTAATGGATGGAGAGACCAGAGAGTTTGTACCTGCCAAGAGCTGGAGACTGCTGCTTGCTGCAAGCACAGTAATCTGAATAACAGCTTTTACTGGCTGGAATGTATTGACTGGCTTCAGATTTAGCAACTCATTCCTAAAGCTTCCCTCCCCCATCGCCTCCCAGTATCCCTCCTCTTCCTCCTCCCTCCCTCTATCTTTCTGTCTGTCATCCCTGTTTTCATCTCCACTGTGCTGTGTAGTCAGTCTGCCTCCAGCTGATGAGCGTATTGGCAGCTGCATCATTCCACCCTGCTGAGTTATTGGGATTTGTTTGCTACTTTTCCTGTTTTGTATTGAAGCTGTCCCTGCAGCTGTACACACCCCTCTATGTGTGTTCGTGTTACTGGGCTAATTGTTATTGACAGACTGTATTGTGTCTCGTGTTTTTTTGATTCTATTGATTATTTTTATTATTTTTGTTACCCCACCTCCCAGGGCGTGGGAAACCAGAGACAATGTTCTCCTCTTCGTCCAGAAACTCTCTGTTCTCGCCCTGGTCGTCCATGGAGCAGTCGGACTCTGAAGCGTTAGACATCAGCACCAAAGTGCAGCTGCATGGGGTCCTGTGGAAAAGGCCCTTTGGACGGCCATCGGCCAAGTGGTCCCGCAGGTGAGAGTGAGGTGTGATTCACATGTCTCGTGATTTTTTTCTTCTTCCTACTGGTATGGGAAAATCCTGGATGAGCTTTAAAAACTACGGGTTAAACTTAGAGGAAACCTGCTTTTGCTTTAATTATAAAAAAGTTGACATTTTGGAAAGAGTTTCCCAATGCTCAGTAAAATAATGCTGATGGTTCTTAGAGAACCGTCATAGTTTCCTTCTAGAGTGTCAAAGAGTAGTGAAAAGTTAATTATTGATATAATAGTTCAGAATACTCAAATTTACTCAAATATAATTATTCCAGAGCGAAAAATCCATAGTTGTAGACATCTGTAATCATTTTTTATTTTAGACAAATCACAGAAAATATTTTTTTTTATGGCAGAAGAACTGATAAAACTTGTCGCCTATATTTCAGACGTTGAAAGTCGAACTTATTTTCTTCCAACATTTTGGGTAAACCAAACTGCTGACATGTTTATTAGGGGATTGTGTATTAGAGGATTGCTTTATATAACAACAGGATAGACGTGTCCACAGGCGTTTTCATATCCCAGTGTCAGTGTACCCTGAGTAGAGTGTATATTTGGATGTTAAAATGCCTGGATTGGTACCTTATGTCATGATAATGCTCTTAGTTTACATAACCGTTAAAACGACAATACACAGTGGATCCAGAGAGTCCATTTGCAGCACAGTCTTTGTAACCTTTCCCATTTGCTTGTGTCATAAAGGTCAAAATAATTTGGTTATTTTCAGTAAATGCCTATTTGGTTTTCTGTGCCAAACTACAGACGCATGAGCTCAGTGATTTAGTGTTTTTCGTTGTCACCAGCTTAACAAAAACGGAAGTTGTTTGAAACAAATCTGCCAACCGGTCTGATCCTCAGAAAGATTTTAAATCATTTCAGTTATAATGTGGTAGAATATTTAACTGCCTTTCCTGTTGGTGACATTAATGGGGATTTCTCACATAAAGCTTAGTTTACTCGTCATGAAGAGTGCTGCTCAGCCTGTGAACTAACTTTTTATAATTTCTCTTAGGAGTCTGGAATAGCTTTATAAAGTCTGAGAAAATAACCATGACAGTGCGTCAATGAAAGATGCTATATAGGTGCATTATAGGAAATAACAGATCCACCATTCTTTATTAAATCTGTCTCTTAGTCCCCCAACTTTATGGAAGTGCAGTACTAAATCACTGGAATATTCGTTTTACTATGAAATACTGGCAAATTGTTTGTTTCTCTTTTTATATGTTAGTTTTCAAGTTGAATTAAATCCAAAGTAACAGGACATGCAAGTGACAAGTAAACATGTAAATATGTAGATTTATCAAGCAGGTATGTTCCAATTTTAAATACTAAAGCTCATCATTGCACATCTGTGAACACAAACCAGTAACGCATTATCAAACAGGTCACCTGATCACAAGTTTTGCTTTGGGAACATGGACAGACGTTGGTTCCTTTCAGCCCCACTCACTGCTGCTTTCATTGTCTTCCTCGGTACAAAGATTCTTCATCATTAAAGACAGCTTCTTGCTCTACTATGCAGAGAGCGAGAAGAGAAACTTTGAGACCAACAAGTACTTCAACATCCACCCCAAGGTGAGCCTCTGCATTTTCTCTGCACACCTGTAAGAAAACAAAAAAGATTTTTTTCTTGTAAGAAAACAAAAAAGATTTTTTTCTTTTATTAGATGACGTGTGCTTGCACAAAAACATGTAGAAGGTTTTAGATGAATAACCATGTGTTTAAGTCACTTTTTGTTATTATAAACATCTGACTTTTACCTGAATTATCCAGAAACAACATTATAAATAACTGTGTGATGTGTTTCTGTCTCAGGGAGTCATTCCTCTGGGAGGATGTGTGGTGTCAGCTAATGAAAACATGGGCATGCCCTTTGCTGTTGTGGTCAACCTGGAAGACTTTACTGTAAGAAAACAATTTTGTCACACATTGAGTGAACATTTCCTCCTTTACATTTATCAGCCTGACAGATGTTTAAAGTGTAATGTTAAGAACAGGCCAAGACAGAGAAAATGCACCCATACATTATTGTAATATCTCAATGACAATGCTTTTAAGCTTTTTCTTAATTGTACTTTTATAACTAATCTGATCTTGTAACAAATGGGACATGCAGTGAATGTAACTGCACACTGGGACACACCTACATTTTTATACTCTCAGCAGCCCAAAGATGGAAATCCACTGTCTATTTTACAGCCTGAACCCTTAATTGACAAGATGCTGGTGTAAAATATTGTATGTCCGTCCCCCAGGGTACCATAGTCCTGGCTGCTGAGTGTGAGGATGAGCAGGTCCAGTGGATGGAGATGCTCCAGGAGTCAGGGAAAGTGTGAGTAATCGACTAAATGTTGGTCTTGTGAAGGAATTACACGTAACGTGACCCTTTGTGTACAATCTTCATGGGATTACATCATTATTTTGATGGGAGAAGTTTTGTTTGTGGAAATATTAGACAATTCCACAGTTGCCAGTCAGAAATGTTTAGTTCATACACAAAGAAACAGCATCAGATCTGTTACCAAAGCAAGAATGTTCAGACAATTTCTTGAGAAATTACACTCCCTTTATCCGCTACACCTTTTAACAAGACTAAGAGTCGTTGTTTAGCAGGTTTAATCTTTACCATTTTCACCATGTTAGTCTTGTGTATTAGCATGCTAACATTCGGTAATTATTCACTTCCACTGTATTTGGTCATGATCCAAAGTATTGGACAAACTTTTGACCTAATGATTATACTAAAGGAAAAGTCTGTGGATCTGAATTAATAGAATTCATCCTCTGGGGACCATGAAGGTCTGAATTCATGGCAATCCATCAAGTAGAGGGTGAGATTGTTCACTGTGAAGTGAAAACTTGCCTGGCCTGTTGATGGAGCTAAATGTCATTACAGGTTATCCTGTTGAGACCATGAATGTTTAGACCCAGCCAAACTTTGTCAAGATCGTTCACTCTGAACTACAAACTAGAGGCAGACATTTCAATGACATGAGTCGATTTCACTATTCATCATGGGACTGGGACGGGACAGGGGGGAAAAAAATTGTTGGGGGTACGGGAATCAAAAGTCTTTTTGGAGGAGTAAAATTCCACTCCTGTATCACCAACGTCAGAGAGATGCATACTCTGGCAGCCATTATTGTCTGCACCAAATTTCATGGCAATTCAGCCTGGACCACAGTGATCGACCACCATCACCAAATATGATGGAAAGCATATATTTACTGTGTTTAATTTACTAATCATCCCTTGTTTTTGAATGTTTGTCCAACAGCACCTGGAAGAACGCCCAGCTGGGTGGGGCCATGATTGAGAGTCTGGAAGCTCAGGGGCTGCAGCTGGCCAAGGAGAAGCAGGAGTATCTGGGTATACGGGGGGGGAGTCACCCGAATAAATGAGCTTTTTTAAAGGTTTAACAAGCAGGGGCTGGTTATGTGAAATGTTTTTCTTTCTCCAGATAAGCTGATGGAAGAGACTGAGGAGCTGAGTCATCAGAGAGCACAGAGAGAGGTGATGTTTACTCCTCTGGTATTGTCACATTACAGCAATAACAAAAAGACAAGAAAATTCCATCCATCGTCAACCGCTTATCCTGCGTACAGGGGGGCTGGAGCCAATCCCAGCTGACATCGGGCGAAAGGCGGGGTACACCCTGGACAGGCCGCCAGTCCATCGCAGGGCCACACATAGACAAACGAGTCACTGTCAAAATTAAATAATTAAAATATTCATAATATTACATTTAACACATTAAATTATATGTGTGGGCTGCAACTAAGAATTATTTTCATCCATTATTTTTGATTAAATTAATTAATTGTTTAGTTGTATGAAATGAAAGAAGGCGGCATGGCGGTCCGGCCCTGTAGAATGGATGGATGAAATGAAAGATAATAGTGCAAAACGGCCATCACAATTTCCTGGAGCCCAAGATGGCTTCTTTGTGTTTCTTGTTTTGTCCGATCAATAGTCCGAAATCCAAAGAAATTTCGTTTACTATGATATAAAACAGAAACACAGCACATCATCTCATTGGAGAAGCTGGACTTTAAGAATGATTGCAGTTTTTTATTAATCAGTTATCAAAATTGTTGCAGAATAATTTACTGTCAGACAAGTAGTTGAATAAGTGATTAATCTTTTGCTTTTCAATATTTAAGTATTAATAAAAATGATCATTCACACTAATCTTGTATAGCTAAATGTTTTTTTGCCAACTACTGTCTCAGTTCATCCTGGGACCTGTGTGATCAGTGAAATTGTCCTATGTAAATGCTCTAAAACAGTTTGTGTGTGTTTGTGTAGGAGCTGGAGCGTCTGAACCAGGTTCTGGAGGAGGAGAAAATGAAGTTTGAGGAGGTGGTGCTGGAGCTGAAGGCAGAGCAGGAGCATATCAAACTGTAAAAACCATTTTCCATTAAGTGACATTGATTATACTGTACAAGCCTGTAAATGAAAGTGATTTTGTTTTCTGTTATGTGGTTGATGGCAGAGACCTGGACGGTACAGCTCAGTCCCTGAAAGGTGTTGAGAGTGAAAAAGAAGAGCTCAGCAGTTTAACCATCATGCTGCAGAAATCCATTGAGGTATGACAAAGACAAGGTCATACTAAAGTTATCTGTCACTCATGCACAGATTCTCCGCTACGCAGATACTGCATGTGTGCAAGCGTGTATCAAGAATAACTAATTGATGAGTTGGAAAGAACTCTGGTGCACAAATCAGATCATGTAATGTTACAACTGCTGATGGAATAAGTTATATAACAAACCCTTGAGGTTGATAGAACAATTACCCTGAGAACGTAATCAATTTCACATTGATGCAACTTTCAGTGAAAGTGGATTGGAGCCATGTGAAAACCTATATCACTCTCATGTCTATCAGTTAGATGGAAGCCAGCAGCTGGTTATCTTAACATAAAGACTGGAAACAGCTAGCCTGGCTCTGTCTAAAGGGCACAAAATCCGCCTGCCAGCATCTCTAAAGCTCAGTCGTTAACACATTATATCACGTTTGTTTTCCAGACAACCGTTAGAGACTCCAGGAAGTCACTGCTCCTAATCTACCTAAAACTACAAATGCTGTTTTTACACTAGAGTCTTATGTAGTAATTAAACAAGATATTTGACCTTTAATTACTGAGCTTTAGTGGTGGATTTTGTTACCTTTGGACAGAGCCAGGCTAGCGGTTTCCCCCTCTTCCCAGTCTTTGTGCTAACCTGAGCTAACCAGCTGCTGGCTATATATTTAACAGATACAGAGGGTTCAGTCTTCTCATCTAACATTTGGCAAAAAAACAAAGAGCAAAGCACATTTCAAAATATCATACTATTCCCTAAAACTAAAAAGAAATTCTAGATCTATCAAATTAATTTAAAAGCTTCTTCTATAAGTTACTTACTGTTAATGTAGAAACTTCATCTTTATTGTGAAAATTTTCATAAATGTAATAACTGAACTCAAAATATGTTTGTATATACAAAATAACTATAATATCAATATGTCACTCATTCATAAATTTGGATTTTTGCTGAATCTGAAAAACACATGAATATGTATGTGAAAGATCATTTAACTGAATATTTACTCGAGGTCCACTAATGTACTAGCTTTTTCCAGAGCTTTCAGTTGGACCTTGAGTTAAAGTACTTTTTCCAATGAAATGAATGAACACTCAACTTGCTTTTTGTTCTGCATAAATTATTACACTTGTAATATGCAGCACTCAACCTCTGCACTGAAACCAGAACAGATGGAGTTATTTTAGACTGAGCAGATTCATTGGTATCTGAATCCACTGGTGTTGTCCTTCAGGAGCTCTCTCAGGAGAAACGGCGAACTCTAGAGCTGCTGGGGGTGAAGGAACCGGACATGGAGGAGGTGAAGACTGCAGAGGACAGCTCAGACTGCAGGAAGTCTGAGGATGGGGGGGATCCCGGAGACATGGACCTGCTGCAGGACCTGCGGCACATCGAGGAGCAAATGAAGATCCTGCTGAAGGAGAAGGAGCAGGCGGATGACAAGTAAGTGAGACTGGCATCAGACTGGGATTACTGGTTTGGTGCAGCAAAAAAAGAACATAATGAATAAAAAATCTACAAAAATGACAATGAAAAGTTTTAATGAACATATTAATGCCAGGGTCATGTTGGAAATGGTGATCGATCAATCAATCAATTCTGAAATAAAATAAAACATCCAAGGTAATATAAGTTTACAAGAGTGCTTTAGCCTGCGATTACGTTTTAGCATCCAAAGGGTGAAATACTCCGGCCTTTCAGGGAACCTCCTATACTAATGGCACAGAGGATGTAACTACTGATGGAAATGTGTATTGATCCCTGAACAACAAGCTCATTGATCAGCACCAGTAAGTGGGATATTACAACGTTATGTTTCCATGAGCTCTGCCTGTACTCTCCACCTCTTCTCAGTCGTCCTCTTTTAAACAAGATTTTTTTCCCTGAAAGGTGTTTCTACCACCTTATTTATATATTATTGAGGAGCAAAAGTAAAAAGGACTGTTTTCATTTTCACATTTTAACATTTCAGATTTGATTTTTGTCTTTTTTCCCAATCATTTCAGTTCAAAAGAATATATAAAACTAAAACAATTGAACAGACTTTTTTCTGTTTATACAATATGGAACTGTGTTGTATCTGTTGAGTTGTGTTGTATCTGACATCTGAAGATGTCTGAAGATGATTTCAGATGAAGAGCAGAAACAAAAAAAAAAACATGAAGACAGCTGTTAAGCTAGTTTCCTTAAGAATTAATGAGATATTTTAAAAGACATCAAATATTCAACCAAATAAAAAATAATCAAATCAATCTCAAAGTATTAGCTTGACATTTTATGAAATAGGCTTATTCACGTTTTGTTAAATATGAGGCTAAAACCAGCAGCCTGTTAGCGGAGCTTAGCATAAAGACTGAAAACAACTAGCCTGGCTCTGTGTCGGCCTACCAGCACCTTTAAAGCTCTAAACTTTACACATTATATCTTGTTTGTTTAATTCATACAAAAAACGGCATCTAAAACAGCAATTCGCTGCATTACCATGTTCATATAAATGTCTCACAGATGCTAAAAGTCAGACGTTATGTGCAGATAAAACTGATCTCCTTCAGATAAAGTTCTGTTGGTTCCTGTTTTAACCTTTTTAATGAAATTCCATGTGGGCGTTTATGAACATTCATCTGTGTTGTGTAGAACTCAGTGAGTACCATGGCACCAATAAACGCTGTCCTGACAGTGAAGGGTATCTTTGACAAAAGCACTCATGTCTGAAAATCCACAACTTTTTTCCTGCAACAAAGCGGTTTTGTTTTGAGCTTTTAAAATGGCTTAAATAATGTCACAATCATAAAAAATTGCCAAAATCAGAGCTATGAACATTTTCAGATTAGCACAGAGATACGCATGACGTTTTCTGTGTTGTGTACTGTGTGTGTATTTGTTTCCCTGTTTGACAGGGTTTCTGTTGTTTAGGCTCAGGGAGAAAGAGCAGCGGGCTAAAGTCTTGCAGCAGGAGAGAGAGTACTACTCGTCTCAGGCTAGGACGCTGCAGCAGTCGCTCACTCAGCTCACCGTGGACAAGCAGCAGACCGAGGCCGAGCTTAAGGTAACAGAACGTGACCCTGCCGCTCTCAGCTTGCAGTTGCACTGCAACAAAACACGACTCAAAGTCAGTTTAAAGGTCAGCTGCCAGGATTATGTTTTCAAATAGATTCATAAGATAAAAGTGAAGAGTTGTCACAAGATGAACAGTCAAATGATGAAAACACAAACTAATCAAAGTGAAATTAAGTAAACATGCTTGTTCAGTTTCTCCTTGAGTACTTTACTTGAGTTTTTCAATTTCATGCTACTTTATACTTCTTCTCCTGTACATTTAGGAAGCCAATATTTTACTTTTTACTCCACTACTATTTATTTGATAACTTATAATGCAGATTCAGATTATTAATACAAAATATAATCCGTTAAATTTAGCCTCACTGTTACAAGCTGCTCAAATGCATCACTAATGATATTCCAGTAATACAATATGTGAATCTAAAATGGGCCGTTCTGCGTAATTAGTACTTTTACTTTAGTAAATTTTTAAATGCTGGACTTTTACATGTAACAGAGTATTTTTGCATTGTAGAATTGCTACTTTTACTTCAGTTCTTCTTCCAGCACTGTTCAGGCTGCTCATCTAGTCAGATGTTACTGAATCAGGTGCTTCAACAGCAGATCCTCCTCTTCCACTGCATTTCATTAGCTCTGTACCTGTACTCTCTGCATTATGAGAGCAAAGTCGAATCTAATCTAATCATCTCTCACATCCAGTCTGACGTGCTGAGTCTCTCTGGCGTGAAAAGCAGATATCACATTACCCTTACTGGAACAGAAAAACCCTCATCCTCCAGTTTAAGTTCATTTTCTCTCAATGAAAGTACCACTTTTTGCTTCGCATTTAGGGATGTGCCTTTCAAACAAAAATACTATTAGATAGTCACTGGGGAACTATTCGACTATTCTTTGAAGATTTGTATCCATCACTCCTTACATCAACTCACTCTTTCAGTTAAACTATTATTTGAGACAAGCAGTTAAAGATACAAACTCCTGAGCTGTTGAAGTGCCTGTGAGCGATACCCAAACCTCAACCAACTGGTTGTACCACTCATCTCAAATATTTACTCTGAACTGTTTCTCCAGGCTGGATTTAGTGGTGTTTTACAGGCGATAAATTATAATGCTATTTTTGGCCTGAAGCTCACAACAATCGATATTTAAATTCAAATTCATGTTTTAAGTGTTTTTTTCCCAGAATACTTTATTAAAGAGGTGGAAAGGCCTGTGGTGCTGCTTTCAGTTCATTATGTAACACTAAAGGTTTCTATTGAAAAGTGACATTCCTTTTGCTGCGTTGTTTCCTTTATCGTGAGACAGTTTGAATTTGAATAAACTGTGACCTCTTAGCCTGAGTGAAATATTTTTTCCACCACATCATTAAAAGCCCAACGTTTCCCTTAAATATATGTAAAAATAAAATGATAATATATAATAATAATATAATAAAAATAAATGTAAAGTAAATATCCACATATGTGGATATTTACATTACATTTATTTTTGGATATTTAGATTGATTGAACTCATGTCTTAGTTGACTCAGTCGCTTAAATATGTTTTCAATCAGATCCTGTGTGTTCCTGTGTGTCTCAGGCAGAGATAGAGTCCCGGATGGAGCTGGAGAAGAGACTGAAGCAGGCTGAAGAGGCTCTGCAGGACCTGGAGAAAGGCCTGGAGTCACTGGACCGGACCAAAGAGAGAGACGAGAAGATGAAGGGGGATGTGACACAGCTGAGGCGTAAGTGAATTCATTGATACCTTTTGTATCTGATGGCAAATATTAATGTAATTCAATATTATATGGTGCAAGATTGCATTTAGTTAATTAAAATTTAGTTGCATTTTAGATAATTATTTGTTCACATAATTATCTGTAACAGGTATACATACAGCTCCAAATGCTCCTAAACTTCTGTTAAAGAATGTTTTTATGTTTAAAACACCTGTTAAAGAGCATACACCTGTGAGACTGCCCTCGTCTGGATAGGGTTTGTATTACACGTTGATTGTAGAAGAAACAATGTCACATTTAGCAGATATCACTTAAAGAAGATGACATATGTTTTATGTTCTTGAGGCATCTGTCAGAGTTTTAGGAAGTCCACAGAAAATTTAGAGGTTTGAGTTTTATTTTGTTTAGTTTATTCTCTAGAAATTGCTGCAACTAATTATTTTATTATTATTTGATCTGCCAGTAAATGTTTTTCGATTGTTTATTTGGTCTATAAAATGTCACAAATAGTAAAAATACCTGCAGTGATTTCTCCAGGTGACGTACTCATACAGTTATTCAGTTTACTGTCATGAGAAATAAAGCATCAAATCCTTACATTCGGCATTTGCTTGAAAAGTAGTTGCAGATTACTTTCCTGTTGAGTAATCTATTAATTGTTGCAGCTCTACAAATTATACAGTATAAAAATGGCAGTGCTAAAATATAGGGCTGGGTAATTATTCAATATTTTCACTTTCATGTCTCCATATAATTTATATGGTGAAATCTGAATATTAATATATAATGGTTCATAGTACATTTTACAAAATTTATAAGATTTTGTTCCAGAATAAAATTACAAACATGTGATGAACACAAATTTAACATCTATACTGTTAATTTGAATAACTTAGTAACATATTTATATCAAGATAATGCTGTAGATCATGTAGTTTTAGAAGATTCTAACCAAAATCTGTGGTAAATATTCTAAACGCAAGGTCCACTTAGCTATTCCCAGAGCTTTCTACTGTATCTACTGTGTCTTCATCAGCAAATGAAACTTGTACAGACGTCATCAGGTGACCTATGTTGTACTCTTTGGAGTAGAAAGTATTCATATCTTAAATAAAAGTACTAAGACCACACTGTAAAACATACTCCATTACAAGTTAAAGTTCTGCAAAAATGTTACTTAAGTAAAAGTATGTAAGTATAATCAAGAAAATGTAGTTAAAGTATTAAAAGTAAAAGTACTCAATGCAGAAACATGTCCCCTGTGAATATTATATATTATCATTAGATTATTATTACTCATGCATTAATGTAAAAGCAGGATTTTACTGTTATAGTTGGTTGAGGTAGAGCTCATTTTGAACCATTTTGTAATAGTAATTACATTAATTGATTCAATTGATTGTTAGGGCTATTGGTTGGACAAAACAAACATTGTGGAAGTGTGACTATTTTCTGATATTTATACAAAATAAACCTAAGAATTGTTAAAAATGTATTAAAATTATTAAAATAGTTACATGGAAAAGCAGTAAATCTTCACATTTAAGAAGCAGGGACCATGAAATGTTTTTGCATTTTTACATAAAAATTTACTTAACCATTATCAAAATAGATGCCATTAATTTTCTGCCAACCATCGTTTCAGCTCTACGTCTAAGTATTGTTAGGTACAGTAGTTTAAATTATATTCATTCATAGTTTATAAGGTCTTCATATATTTTGTATCTGTAAATGAACTAGTTTGTTGTCAGAAGTTAAGCAGTCAGATAAATGTAGTGAATTAAAATTTGTAATATTTCCCTCTGAAATGTAGTGAAGTAGAGAAAGAAGCATGAAAAGAAAATACTCAAGGAAAGTAAAAAGTACCTCAAATTTGTTCTTAAATCCAGTACTTGAGTAAATACTAGTGCTAAGTTACATTCCACCACTGGTCATACCCATATACAACCTGACAGAGGTCCTGTACTTCGGTCACATGACCTGAGTATGCATTCTATGTAGAAGATGTAGCAGGCAGAAGCTCTGGAAATAAAATAAAAAAGTATGTGGATTTTGCATTTAGAGCTTTTACCACAGAACTTAAAATTAGTTCTGTTCATCTGAGAATTACAGATTTAGGTCTCAACACTAATATTCTCCTTCATGCTCAATTGTACATCAGCAACAGAAATCTGTCACATACATCTCTAGGATTTAATCAGTTGTCTTATAATGTATGTTGGCTATTTGAGACTCCATTACATCGGACTGTGTGTGGCGTGTTTGTTTAACCAGGATTTTTTGAGGAGTGTATCTGTGCAGCAGAGATCGAGGCGAAGCTTCCAGCGATCATGAAGAATGCTGTGTATCTGCACAAAGCTGCTGCACGCAGAATCAAGAGCTGCCGAATCCAAAGGAGAGTGTCCAGACGCCACTGGTGTAAGTCTGTGCATCACAACGCATACACCCCGCAATCAAGCATATTTTATGGGGCGTTTGAGCACTGCACAAGTAAAGTTAAGATTATTAGCATTGTTAGAAATATTAGGTACATAGGTAGATTTAGTTATACTAGTAAACACAGGTGGAAAGGTCTGTTTGAGGTTTAAATCTGTAATTTTATACAAAATCTAATCTTTTTAACATTTTTTCTCCTTCTCTCTTTAAATTTATAAAACGTTGTTTTGTTTACCTTTGCTTTATTGTAAATATCATGATTTTCTTTTTATGAGAAGCACTTTGTGTTGCATTTTAAACATGAATTGTGCAATAGAAAAATGTTTATCATTTGTTGTAATGACGTTTGTACAGGCAGTCATGCACAGTATTAGAAGTAGTAGTAGTAGTAGTAGTAGTAGTAACAGTTGCAGTAGTTGTACTACTAGCGTTATAACGGTTTGTTGCAGATGTTGTAATACTAGTAGCAGTACTGTTTCTGTTGTTATAGTAGAAGTGGATGTGGCTCTTGTAGTAACACTGTGGTAAATGTGTTGCAGATTGGGCTGCAACTGAAGATTATTTTAATTTGTTAGTTATTCAGTCACAAAATGTGAAAATTATGAAAAATGTCCATTACAATTTTTCCAGAACATAGTATGTTCCTTTCTATCGTTGTTATTTAATGAGGCAACTGTTAGTCACAAGTACCTAATTGATTATGTTCTCCACATTTTTTCTCTTATGCTTCGTTCCAGTAAAACAATCCAAGTCTTTTGCTGTGCCCAATGCTGACGACAGCAACATGGAGGAGCTGCGAGAAACGGCCCGGCGACTGACCTCCGACAGCAGCTTCAGAGAGAGCGTGTACAAGATCATGGCCCGCAAGGACTCTGCAAACAAAACAGAGGACTGAGAGGAGAGAGAGCGAAGTAAAAGAGGAGAAATGGTCCTTAGCTTTACCTCAGTCCACACACCGAGTGATGTAGAGATCCTGATCCCAAACCCACCATTAAAATACTTTAGACAACTGTACACAGAAGTCAGTTTGGTGGCTTCTCTGGTTGCAAACTATACTGAGAGCAGTAAGAATTCAGTTTAACACACAAATCAACAGTGCTATATTATTATATATAATAGGTTTACATATAACAGCACTTGTTCTCAGCCCCCTCATGAATATACTGGTTTATAGCCCTTTTTGACCAAACAGTTCCAGGACCCACGAGAACAAAATCCAGGAACTGAAAGACCCTTTTTCACATTGCTATTTGTGTGTTCATCAAATCAGGGCAATTAAGGATAAAAAAACTATACAATGATTGAAACGCAGTATTCATTTTCTCTTTCTATTTACTGTTGCGAGATGTTCAAGTTGGATGTTAAGAAATAAACGAAAAGGAGATGAAAAATTTAACTTTGGAGAGAGGGGCTCCAAAAGAGTTTTATGGCAACAAAACTTCTGGCCCTTTTCTACCAAAATGTTCCTAATGTGATTTAGCATCAGATTCGGCAGAGAGATTCAGCAACAGAGTGATCCTGCTGTTCTTTGTATTTACTGTAAAGAATAAATGAAAAGGAGATATGCAGAGGTAGAAAAGGAGACAGAAACACTGACTAAAGACCGAAACCCCCTTTCTTCAAAACAGACAATCTGTTTGTTTGACTGGTATATAACTCTGATTTAACAGCAATTAAACAGCCAGTTGACATTTTATTTTCTCGTTTAACTAATCAGGTAACGAACAACAACACAGCCTCACACATATTTTAAAAGTAAATATACACCTCTTGTCCCAGTATTGATACTAGAATCCAATAATCCTTTATTTTGGGAATAAAGCAAGTTGTACACAAGTTGATGGTCCACTCTGCAAATTGAACCATCAGAAAGTACTACTCTAGTTCCTGGAACTGTTTGGCTAAATCGAATCTAATCACACTTTTCTACCAAAGAATACTTAAGTGAAAACTACATGTATGTTAGGAACAACTGTTCTCTCAGTAAGGTGTACTATGTTGTAGTGTCCTAATCAAATATATTATTTTGACAAGAAAACTGACCATTTGGGACTCTAGACTTCACCTCATAAGTTGCCGTCATGTTACTTGACATTAAGAAACACTAACATCATTGATTGATCAGTCGGCAGTGTGTGACTGTAGCCTTGTACCTTGAGTTTCTAGTGTTTTCACCATTCTCAAAAACAAATACGATTATAATAGATTTGAGGTACCAGATAGCACAGACTATACAAATTCGTCTTGTAAAATGTTTGTTTTTATTATTCTGGTTTTGATTGTATGCACAGATTGTGTCCTTTACTTTAACAGAGGTTCTATGAAAACAATGATGGAAACACGTGTCTGATATTGAAACTTGACCATTTTGTTATTGCTACATATAAAAATCTGTCCTTGACCAAGCAAATCATTGTAAATCACTGACGCAAGCATTTTATGATAATGTACAAATGATAACTTAACACCGGAAATGATAGGAAAAAAAGAAGCCCACATGTCAGGGTAAGGTAAGAGGGAACATATTATGGACTGAACAACATGCCTTGATGTTAATAAAGCTGTGTTTGAACCTTGTACATGTCGTTTCATTTATGCAGGTAAAAAGGCTTTAGGCTCATATCTGGGTTCCTGTTCTCAGCAGGACAATAGATGGCACTGATACTAGTTTAAAATGAGTAAAAACTCTTGATATGGATGTTTTTATCATCAGGGGAGAGATAAGTTGTGTGTTACACTTTGATAAAGTTCAGTGTGGGAAGAAAGGTTCTGTCACGAGGATTGTAGGTTTACATCACCAGCTCTCGTTCATCACCAGGACCTGCAAATAAAATAAGAGTGATAAATGTGAGTATTAACAGTACGGCTACACTTTATTCTAACCTCCCTGTATGGCGTTTATAAGTAGTTTAAAAGCACTTAAAAATAGTCCAGTTGTCATATTTTAAATGTTCATTTAGGAATCTATTTCATCTCACTTGTTCATGTGTTTAATTAGAATCATTATACAGTCTATGATTACAGCTACAGTGGACAATTTTCACATGCAAAACGGTCACATTCATGAGGAGTTGAACTTAAGTTTTTATATCTGCTTATAATGTGTTAAAAACCATCTATTAAGGGTTTATAAACTATAAAGTATAATAAAGTATAACTATAGTATATGTTAAAGATAAGTTAAAAGTACACAAGGTATATGTGTCACATCAGTATCAATGATCCTGTTTAAAGTTGCGTATTAAAACAATGAAGTGAACTTTGCTGTTTTAATGAATATAAAATACCTTTTTCAAGACACTGTTTTCAGTGTCATGATAAAATTATTTTTGACAGACTTGCATAGTCTAAAATTATTTTATGTGTATTTGAAGACCTTTAAGACTAAACACAACATTGACTGCTCAGTGTTGCACTTTCAGCTCTTGTTTACAAATATTATTGTCTGGAGCCTCCGAAATCTTAAAAGATGAGGTAGTATCTTGTGCAAACAGGACGCTAACTCATCTGTAATGACTTTGGAGTGTTGTGTCATCTAAAGATAATGAGCAATGAGCCACTTGGAGAGGAGCTGGATGCTGAAGCAATACCGCTTGTAGTTTATTGCAAAATCAATTTACTAAATGCAAAATTAAACTACATTTCATAATAAGCATCTTGACACATTTTATACTATATTATAGATCGTTTTGGGATTTTTAGAGCATCCACTTACTGCACTGTTTGCAGTATATCCATTAATGATAAAGATGATCATTAAAGTGTTTATTTACTAATAGAGTTTATCGCCTTATGTTAGCATAATTCAAAAAGGTCTGCCACATTTTCTCAAATTTTAAGAACCAGGAACCGCGCCTTGAACCACTAATTTAAAATGCTGCATCACTTCCCTCAGTTTTAAGTATTTCAATGTCATGTTTTGATGTAATAGTTCAGTAGCTGTTAAATCCATGCAACACAAGGAGTTAACATTGCTGTCATCCAAAAGTCTGCAGGTTAGCTGTTCCTCTTACCTCTGATCTACTAATGTTTTCTTTTTTAATGTAGAATGCAATTGTACCTGTGGTTTACTAGGAGGTATGAACTGCAGCTTTTATAATGTTACTACATTTTAATATAACCATTTCTAGATTTCACCTTTTCAACCACCATCACATGCACCTACAAATCTGCCATCTCATCCCTCTTACGTTACCTCCCCATGATTATCTGGTGGGAACAGTGTGGCTCAGTCAGCACCATAAGCCTGTCAGTCCTCTGCTGGTCTAATGCTGCAGTTCAAATTCATTCTGGCTTTTATCTCAGTAGTTAGTGACCTTAGCAGGTATCAGGCATGTGACTGTCTGAAATACTCGGCACAATCTACTTTCTGCCCACAGATTTGCTGCAGAGACAGGCTGCAGCTTGTAGGTGATGGTTTTAGAGGCTTTCTCCCTGTAATTTCCCGGCTGCCTAGCACAGATGTTAATATAACAAAGCGATGGTGTGTTTTTCCAATAATGCTCTGCAGAGAAACAACCAGAATAAGCCGCCGGAGAGCCAGCTCCCCACCGGCAGCCCCCTCATATTCCCACACACTCCCTGCTCAGTCACCTTTCGCTGCTCTATCCCGATTTCTATCGCCATGGCAACGGCTACATCTGAGGGCAAAAACCCATGTGTATCTCCCTTTTCTTTTTTTAATCTGAGAGATTGTAGGATTAGCGCAGCCAGAGGACTTTAAACCTCGTTGTTGGCTTGCATGTCGGCTCATGAGTAAATGCATTTTTTTTTCTCTCTGCACTGTCAATTTGGGGTCAGCGTGATCAAGTGGTGTTGTAGGTTTTTTTTAATTGCAAGCGTTGAAAGGCAACAGGATGTAACAAAACAGAAGGCATTGCATAACCTGTAAAAGCAATAAAAACTCGTACCTGTTGACCTTGACTTGGTCACCAGGCGGCTGTTTTGGGAGCAGATCGTCTGCGGGTGAGTCAAAAGTTGCCTGTCTCTCAGAATCCCTCACTGTTTAGTGTAATCTGACATGAAGACGAGAGACAGGGGGAGGCAGAAAGTCCCTGCTGCAGGAATTGGCGTTCTCTGATGCTTCATCAGCACAGCTCTTGTGCACACGGCCTTCCTGTGCTGCAATGTCAGCGGTTAGGTGCAGACAAGTGTCCTGCCTAGGGCTTCATTTCCATTGCTATATCTGGCTGTGTCACTGTGCATGTACAAAAGGATCCCTCATTTGCTTTGGGGTCTAAAACCATTTGCGCTTACTTTTCCTTTACAAGAGTGCTCACTAAAAAGCCTCTGCAGTTGTCATGGAGTTGTGCTTCCTGGTAAACAATGACTCTTTTCATTCCCACACAGCTTTCAGTCCAGTGGCTGAGATAGACGGAGCAGAGGGCAAAGAGAAAGAGAGAGGAGGGGTTGCGTTGCTGCTCAAGGCAGCACTCTCTAAGCTCTCACCTATTGTGAAGTCGACTGTATGTCTCATACAGGCTTTGCGGTTCATTTATGATCGCTGATATAGTTTGTAGTCTCATTACATCCAAGATACAAAATGATTTGGTTTACTTTGACAGGATCTAATATAAAAAAACAATGGTCAAAAATGTAGCCTAATGAAACAAGCTGAAGATATGTAAGACTCGGAAAAACTAACACTGTTGGACTTTATGGGAAGAAGGGTAAAGCTGTTGAGTGATGACGGCCACAATGAAGGCAAGAGCCAAGCACATGACCAGAGTCCACAACAAAGCTATGGGTTTATTTATCGTCTATGCTGGCTTTGAGTTGAGCTTCCAGGGCCATTTTATCAAAAGTACGCATGTTGGTCTCCTCCCGTACTTTGTCTCGTACATGAAAAGAGGCTCTGGCCACAGAGCGAGCACTCTCCAGCACGGCCCTCTTTTCCTTGAAGATCTGCTCACTCTTCTCGAGCTTCCTCTCAATGGACTGGAGCAGCTCCAGGCGCCTCTGCTTCTCCTCCTCTTCCACTCGCTGCCTGTTGAGCCTCTGGAGTTTTTCCTTCTCCTGCCGGGTCTGGACTGCCCGCTGAGCTTTCTCTTTGGCCCTCTCCTCGGCCACTAAAGCCGCCTGTTGGGCTCGTTTCTCTGCCTCTTTTGCACGAGATTCCAGAAGCTGCTGCTGTTGCTTTTCGCGCTTCTCTGCGGCCTTGCGTGCTTTCTGAATCTGCTTCTCCTCACGCTTGGCCTTTTCTTTAAGCTCCTGCCCTCGACGCTCAACTATCTGCTCATAATTCTCCAGGGAGCGGCTGAGCTTCTCCTCTGCTGCCCTCCTGGCCTCCTCCCTCTCCTCCTGCTCTCTGCGTGCGATCTCCTGTCTCAGGGCGGCGTGACGTCTCTTCTCTGCTTTGTTCAGACCTCGTCTGTCCTCCTGGGCCTGGTGCTCCTTCTCTTGCCTCTTCAGCTCGGCCATGGTGAGCTTCTCTTTCAGCAGCAGCCTCTCCTGTTCCAGCATGGCCGCCCTCTCCTCCTCCAGGGCCTTCAGATTCTGTTCCTGAAGAGCTTTCTTATGCTTCTCTTCTCGTGCTGCCTGCTGTAATCTCAACAGGCGGTTACGTTCCTGCTGCTCTGCAAGCTCCCTCCATCGCTCCTCGCTCTCCTCAGCCTGTCGCATCTTGGCAGCTGCTGATTGTCGCTCCTGCTGGCTGAGTCGTCGCTGACGTATCGACACCTGGGTCTGCCACACCCGCTGGCACTGAAGCACTGCACGCTGCTTCTCTCGGTCCTCCTGCTCTCGTCGTAGCTCCTCCATTCTGCGTTCACTATCCCACTGAAGGTGAGCCACATAGCGGGTCTGACTCATGATGTCTTCCTCCTGGTATCTGGCAAGCATCAAAGCTGCAATCTTGCGGTCGCGCTCAGACACGGCCTTCAGGCCTCGCCGCTTCACCTCCTTCACGATGCGCTCCACTTTCTGTGTCGTCTGAGGAGAGTGGCTCAGGTCACCAAGGCTGAGGCTGCGGCCCATCAGGGAGTTGAAAGTGGCCATAGTGCGAGCTCGAGGACTGGAGACTTTACCCCAGTGATCTCTTACACCATCCCAGCTGTAAGAAGAAGAAGCGCCTGACTCTGATGAGGTGCATGTGGTGGTAGTTGTGGTGGTGGAAGTGGAAGAGCAGCCGTGATCCATCCTCCGCTGTAAGGACTCCAGTGAATGGCTTTTTCCTCGCCCTTTGGAATGAAATCCAAGATGTCCGTTTTGCTGAATGAACGGTCCTCCTGTTACACCATTCAGAGGTGTCCCAGTGTTCTGAACTGCAGGCTTTGACACTGATGAGGTTAATGTAGAGTTGGCTCTGGGGAAGGAAGGGTGTTTTGGTGTTGATCTGGGGAAAGTGCTCACAGATTTACCGCCTGAGGACTTCCTTACTACTGGTGGGGGGCCAGATGAGAGTGGCCGTGTGGTTTTTACTTGTTCAGATGAGGAGGACAAAGGATGCTTGGCAGATCCTTGGAAACCGCCCTTTGAAGATGGCGTAGAGGTTGTGGAACCAGTTTTTGCGGACTGGGCAGATTTAGGGGAGGTACTAAGACTGGAGGTGGGGGCTTTAGATAAAAGACCTGTGCCAGTTTTAGAGGTTGGACCTGATGCTGTGGCTCTAGAGGATACTCCAAAATCAGGGGCTGAGCTGGAGGTCACCGACCCAGATTTAGAAAGCTGAGTGGAGCCAGAGGAGGCTTTGTGCTGCTGCTCCACAGAGGAGGATGGCGCACTGCCGCCGGTATTGACTGTAGCCTGCAGAATTCTTCTTTTTTCCTCTCTGACTATCCTCTCCCTCTCCTCCCTGCACTGCCTCAGTTTGGCATTCCTGTCCCTTTCATAGACTTCAAACAGCCCTGTCGCAACACGCATAGAGCGGCCGGGAGCCTCCCGGGCAAAGTCAGAGAGCGGGCGGGGCAGGAGCTCCACAGGTTTGACCCCACATCGAGCACACGCCTCCAGAGAGTGGGGACTTGTTAACACGTATCGGCTACCCTCTGCAGCCGGTGAGTCAAAGTTGTACAGGTCCAGGTGCAATTTGGGTGACAGATCTTTGTCAGTCTGAGTCTGTGGTTGCTGAGATGGGGCCCCCTGACAGGCGGCGTCTGGCCCCGTTGGGGATGCAGAGTGACAGGGGCTCGGCTCAGAACTGCCGGTGGGCGGTGTCTCAAAACCGGCATCCCCATCCTCCTCTGTTGTAGTGCCGTCAGCCTGTTCTGGCAGTCGAGGGTCGTCAGTGGCCACAGCCGGTGTGTTGAGCTGTGGACCTTTACACTTATTCTGCTCCTCAGCCTCTGAGGGGTCGACCATAGTTGGCTAATTCTGCAGGCAGAGAAGAGGGAGGGGGCAGGGGTCGATGGGGGGAGGGGGGTTGCATGATATTTGAGGGGAAATGGATAAAATAGTCGGAAGAGTTTTCAATTAAAGGATTACAGAATTCAGTCCAAAGCTTAAGAGAGATGCGGTCTGTGGGGGAGGGTCATAATGCAGGTTCAGAGATGCATGCATGCATGCATGAGCACATATTCATGCACTGATTTTATACCAGATGAGACATTTTCCCTTCAGGGAAGTGACATAACACACAAAAAAACACCACAGTCCTTTAATACAGTCTATTTTTGGCAGAGTTACTAGGCTGAGAGAATTTGATTACTCATAGCAATATCTTTCACTCTACATCACACAATCAACCTGCAAATACCTTTGAAGTCATTCCAGGCCCTGCAACATACATTATTAACCAGTTGATAGTAAAAACTTGATTTGAGATTCTATCTGGGAAACACTGGGCAAATCTACTGAATTAAGCTCTCTGGTCTCCATCCTGGACTCACACCTTAAAAACAGGAAAGGCCTAGACTTTTCAGTGTCAGCAGGACACCCAGGCTGAAAATAGATGCACTTTCACACTAAAAACGAATCTGGGTCAAATTTGAAGGACCGATTTCATTAGAGATGTGCCTGCTGTTGGCTGCTGTGTAACAATGACAATATTTATTACTATATTCACTGCAGTTTCATCCCGTGGATTGGTTGTATTTCACGGGTAGCGCACACAAACATCCACTGACCTGCCAGTTTGCAAAACGTTTTCTAAACCGGTGCTTTGTTCCCCTTTAATCCGTCCAGTGCGCCTTGTTCCCTGCATAATATCAGGTTTCAGGGAAAAGGCTTCGGCCGTCGACCCAACGATGGAGCTTCACATCGTCGCAACCTCCAGCGACACGACAGACACAGACGGAGCCTTTCGCAGTCTGTCGGTCTGCTGAGCAGCGGAGCTCAGATCTCTCTGCGATTAAAAATAAATACAAAACCAGCCCCAGAGTGAAATGTACTCTGTACGACGAAAACAAAAATCTTCTATCCAGCTTCCTCTGATCCCCCCTCTGCAAAGTGCATCATGTAAACATCAGCGGTGTCCACCTGCTATCTGTTCAGCAGCATCCCTCCATCTCAGCCTCCTTAGCTCCGCCCGCAAATATGCTAAAAATACTGTCAGCAAGCTGCAATTAACCAAGCGCCTATACACCCAGCTTTACATGCTTTTAACATGTAACAAACACTGGCATGCTGAATGTGTTGGCCCTGAGCAAAGTTCATCTAATAGTTTTTCTACCAGAGACATACAGTAGGCCTATGTGTCCACAGAAGGAAGTGTCTTCCTAATATTTTTTAGTTTCCTAGAAAAAAAAAAATACCGCCTTATAATTTGTTTTGTATGTTACAGGCGATACAAAAATGTATTAAAAACATATCATTTATTAATTAAAAATGATATGAGAGTCGAACCTATCTATAAATACATGTTTGTTTAATCTGTGCAGGCTGACCCTTCAAATGTCACATCACCGCGTGTAACAGCTGCCATCTGCCAGCCTGGCTTATGAAATGATATAGACTGTAATTGCTTTAAACTGCCACTAGAGGACACTCTAATATAATATTCATGCTGTGGGTTTCTCGGGTGATCACAGGGGGGTCAGCAGCCAATCGCCATCACTAGAGTTTATAAGAGATGAACTAACTAACTTATTCTTAAGTGTAAGATTCTTCTTTTTTGATAAATCCCTTAACATAAAAACATAAATATAAAAACTAAACAAAAAGAGCATTTTGATTCTACATAAATCTTTCCACTTTCTTGTTATAGAAAAGCTACACCTGTATCTATCATCACATATGATGACTGTAATGTGCAAAGATGAGTTTTTGGTCAGTTTCACAAAAAACACCACAGCATTTAAGACTAGACACAGAGAAACATGTAGGCTACTTCTAAATGAAGAGTGCTGATTTAAGTAAGTTTTAAATCAACTAATAGTTTACAGCACCTGTAACAGTTATTTTAACTGTTAGGCACTGCTTGTGTGGAGCAGGTATTTTGACATGTTACAGTAGGAAAAACAGGTGTACATAATAAAAATGATAATAAGGATGGCTGAATTCCATTTAGCTGCTTCAGTTTCCTGGTCCTGGTATTGTGCATGCTGGCTCAGTGTCCCACTGCCACTGTCTACTGTGAAAAAGGCATGTTGTCAAAGACATTCATGTGAGGTGAAGCAAAAAACTCTCAGGTTTATGTTTATCTGCATTAGGCCTTAAAGTGTCTAATAATTCTCCAACCAATAGGCTGTAATAGTTGTATTACATCAACTTGCTATTTTAATCAAGATTTCTTGGTAAGTTCCCCTATTTAGCATTTATAAGAGTATATAAACATTTAATATATTGTTTATAGCACACTATAATGTAGTTATTACCAGATATACTGTATGTGTGCAGTATTTGTCAACAATTACAACTATTAAGACATATTACATTTTTACAGTTGTGTTTTATTATATTGTTATTCATCATCTGTTTATACACCAGCCTCCATGTATGAGTGCTAACCGGAGGAGTAGTAGTTGTTGATGAATACAATAATAACACAATGTTAAATAAATGAACACGCTGCGTATCAACCTTATAGTTAATTATTCCCCGTGCAGGAGATTGTGTTTGAGGTGAAAGGTCAGGGTCACAGACAGGAGAGCAACAACAGCGCTGGTAAGAATCCATCATGAGAAGAGTTGATGCCTCTGATAAATATTTATTTATTTCAATTACTGAGATAGAGATCTCTCACGAGAGACCTGAGAACAACATTACTGTGTTATTACTACAGCTACTGCTGCTTCTTGTATTTTTCCATTACAAGTATTACTACAACTATTTCTACTGCTATTACTAATCCGCTGCTATAACATCAACCCTACGTACTACTTGCTCCCCTCAAGGTGGTGATTTGAGTTCTTTCATTCCATCAGCAATTGGCCCTTTAAACAAAATGAGATTGGGCCTGTGATTATCTGTAGATGGGTTTGTTTTGCTGCTTTTCTGATGGTGTCGTGGGCGCGAACTGTGTATGGGTTTATGCATGTATATAGTATATATATATGGCATAAATTCTATTTTTATTTATTATTGACTGCTGTTGTAAGACAAATTGCCTCTCAGGGACATTAAAGCTTAACTGTACTCTACAGTGCTACTAATACTTACTACTTACAAACAAACACCTACCACTACTACTACTGCCGCAGAATTGGTGGTAGCAGCAATAACACAACTTTTGCTCTAGCAGGTCTTCTACAAGTGGTAGAAAAAGTAAAAAGTAGTTGTCTCTGTTGTGTATTTCTACGTCTACTATTTTTCTTTCACCACACCCAACTACATGAACGAATGTGGTATATTTGTCTTTTTAAAGTGGCTTTCAACAAACTGGTCTGGTTGGGTCCAGTCAGAGCGGTTGAATCAGGATTAGATAACTCTGGGTGAAAAAAACAGCGATGATGACCCACTAAACGTCTGACCCGGTGTGGGGAACAGTGCGAGTTTAATTGTCCCCGCCCGTGAGCAGTATCAGGAGGACAGCGGGGTAACAAGTGACAACAGGGAACGTGCTGGCTGGCTTGTTAACCAGGGGCATGGGGTCTGGGAGGGGGGCCAAAGGGGAGCGGGGCATGGTGTGGTTGCTGCACAGTTCACTGGTGCAGGGGTATGCTCGACAGAAGTTTTGTGTTTTTGTTTTTGGTACTGTAGGGCATGCTCCCCATCGCCAAAGCTGGACTTGGGGGTTCATCGAGAGGTGAGCTGCTCTGTGCAGTCATGGAGACCACTGCAATGCCCCGCTGGTGGCGAGGACTTGGAGCATTCCCTTATCTACTGGTTCTGTAGTGGGAACCAGTCTGAAGGTGCCAAAGCCGTCATTCGTATACAGGAAAAAAATCTGATTTATTTTATAGTAAAATAGTATAATTAAACAGATTTCCGGGTTACTTATATTTTCTAAATAGGACTATCTGCAATTATTCACGTTTTCTCTAAATTTAAACCCAATCAATCAGTAAATCATTTAGAAAGCAGTGTAAGACATTAAACTAAATGTTTTAATTTTTTTGCAAATGTTTTGTTAAAAGTGTCTTTGATGAATATATTTATTAAGCTGACAGTTTTTCCAAAGAAATCAGCCAAACAATTTTTCCTCTTTGGCTCCTCAAAACTGGATGCCTGTCATGTCGGTAAACTATAAGTTTATAACCTGATTTGCTGCATGAGAGCATTAACTAAAAACAGAGAATGTTAAAAGAAAAGATGATGGCTAGAAACAGTGAAACAGAAACAATAACCAATAATAACAAATATAATACTTAATTTCAGTGCTTCAATAAAAAGTGTCTGTTAATGCAGAAGAGCACTCTGCTCCTGTGAATAACATCACAGTACAAGTACAAACTGATCAGTTCTCATAGTTTGAAAAAACTGTTGAAGTACTGGGAGATCTAGCAGCAAATGATTGATTAAGAAGTCTTACGCTGGAATATCAAAGTGAAGGCAGTATTGGTGCTGTTAAGAGGATCTATGTGCCGTTCACTCCACTGAAGGAAGCCTATTCTTACACAGAGGCAACAAATGAATCCAGCCAAGAGATTACAGACAGAGAAAAACTCGGGGAACTCAGACAATAACCACTTTTGGCTACATGACTCGGCAGCCTCAGCTGAGATGAATTCACCCATTTCATCTCCCTTCAAGAGCCAGGTCTGATTTTTAGCTCTAAATGTGTGCTGAACTTTGACAAGTACGGATAAAGACATGGCAAACTCTTTCACAGACCTGGAAATAAAGAGGATACAGTCGGTCTCAGTGCATTTCCACCTCTCCAGGGGGCTACTGATTTTCCACATTATTATATTTTACTACTATTGTAATGGTTTGCGCCAACAGGACACTGTAGGGGTGTTCGCTCAGAGTGGAACATTTTTAGTGAGTGTAAAATGCTATTCAGACAAGTTCAGTGAACCATATGTGATCATATACCTTGGAATTTTTAAAAGACTACTACAATGTTATTCATGTCTTTTTACATAACCAAACTGTTTCAGAGGGAGAAAATGTGAAAAATAAAACATAAATTACAGGCTGATATTTGCCTTTAAGATCTTTAATTTCTAATATGTGGGTATTTATGTAGGTTTTTTCTTGGCCTTAGCTAGAAAACTGCAGTGTGATAACATATTCAATTACACTGTAAATAAATTCTTCATTTAAAGTCTGTCCTCCGCTATTAAAATTGTTGCAGTTTATTATTGGCGTAAAATCATAATGTATGTCTTTAACATAATGGCTTTCCCATCCAGCCAATATAATTCTTTTAATCATAATTCTTAGGTCATGGATAAATGTATTGATTATTGGAACAAAATATAATCTTGTTCTGTTATCGGTAACAATTTATTTCTTGGGTTTGTAATTTCCTAATCATTTCAGGAACTATGTAATTTGGTATTGATTATGTGAAAATAGAGACATAGTTCTGAGACATTTATGTTAGTTAGACTATATTTAGCTGCATTGATTGATTATGTTAATTTCTGGAGATTTTTTCGACAATGTTAATAACTTCATAATGAGACTAAAACACAATAAAATATCAACTTATTATTGGAAACTTCATATTTGTTGGACTGTAAAGCTGCAGACAAATAGACACATTTTACATTTTAGCATGTTCAACTGAGCACTGATGGAAAGATTCTAGGTTACACAAGCAATTAAATTCTTAATTAAGTGAAAGTGAACCAATTGACCTCTCTATCCTCCTTATAACTACTACCAAATGATATACTTAATTTAAGGGAACTGCCCAGGAAATTATGGACCTGTAAAGTAAGGTGTTACTGTATTTTCCTTTAAAAACCACACATCTGACTCTAATAATTAATATCTGCGCTGCAAAATACAACAATAATAAAACAAAGAGTGTCACAAAAACAGACAACCAGATTGTGAGTACCACTCAAACAGTACTGTAGTACTGTAGGCTGAGGTTGTGTTTGTTCTCAACAATCCCGTCTTTTCACTCGCTCTGTCCTGCTGGAACTCCCTGGTCCTGTGAAGACTGAGACCTTTCGTTGCCCCCAGTTCACATATCCTACCTCGGTTTGCCAACAGAAAGGGACACGTTTTCTGGGCAGTTTCAACAACTCCCCCTTCTGACCCTATGCTTTCTCCAGCCACCAACCCCCCTCCTCCCTCTGCTCTGTCTTCTGTGGGACGGTACAGGGGTCCCATGCGGGTGTGGAATAGTCTCCCTCCTTGGTGGAAGGGGAAAAGGTCCCAGAGACAGAGCTGTTAATTCAATCAGGAGAGCAGTATGCTCAATTAGGCATCCATAAGGGCCCTGGATGGGTTCGGGGGCCCTGTAGAGGGCATGCAGCCCAGTCCCCACGAGGTATTAATTGTGGATGACAGTGTGTAAACAGTGGGGTGAATAGACAGTGCAGGTGCGGGACACCCCAGTCCAGACTCAATAGCCCTTTTCACACCCTTGGCTCTCTGTTGCCACTTTCTCTTTCATTCTCTCACTACGTAAAAATCCCTCACATCTCTGATTAATGTCATGGATAATTCGGCTTTGTGGGCTTATTTATTTGTTGCTGTGCGTTTCCGTTACTAGGCATGCTCCTACATCAGCTTCAGTGTGTGTGTGTTTATGTGCAAGTGTGTGTTTGAAGAGGGTAATAAGAGGCTAGGTTGCTGCTGTCCAGAACTCTTGGCCAACCAACTGCTATACACGGCTCCTCGTTTTCAGGAGCTATTGAAAATTGCGGCCAGTTCATGTAAAATATCTGGAATTTATTAAATGAAAGCCAGATGACACTTTAAAAGGAGTGGGCTTTCTATCTGACCTCCGATTTTTCCGTTCAGCCCACGACCCGGCCCCCCGTCCTTCGATCTGTCTTTCATTCAGTGCTGTAATTGTGTTTGGTCTTTATCATCTCAAAGTAACTGAAGATGTCCGATAAATAAAATGGAGTAAAAACTACAATCTTTCATTCTGAAATGTAATGGAGTAGAAGTAGAAAGTCACATAATATGGAATGAGAGTACCTCAAAACTGTATGTAAGTACAGTACTTGAACAACTCCAGTGGTGGAAGAAGTATTCAGATCCTGTAGTTATGTAAGTTGTAAGTACCAATACCACAAGTAAAATTTTAAATGCATGACTTTTACTTTTAATGTAATAGTGTTAACATCTAAGCAGCATTTTTGTATTGTAGCTGGTCAAAGTGGAGTTGATGTTAATAACTTCATACTTTTATACTGTGCGGTTGTTTATTCTTTAACAAATTATCAAGTTTTATAATCACTGGCATTTCATTGTACATATCATTAGTTTTGAATCTATAATATTAATGTATTAATTAATCTTAAATATATCAATGAACTAAAGTACAGCTGTCAAATAAAGATGGTGCAGTAAAATGTAGGATCTCTCTAAAAAAGAGAGTAGAAGTATAAAGTAACATACTGGTAAATGGAAAAACAAGTATCTACTTTAGCACAGTACAGGATTATTTATTAACTTCTACCACTGAGTGTATTATACTGTATGTAAAGTATGTCAAAGACAATACGTGAAGTAACCAGTAAATACAGATGTAAAAGGTACAATATTTCCTTCTAAAATATATTTTACTTTGAAAAGAATGTGGTTAATTTATTTATTAATTTATTATACTGTAAATAACTGTAAAAAAAAATAAAATAATGGGAAAACTAACTAGTTTGTGCCTCCATTATAACTTCTTTTAACCCACAACATTCAGCATACCACATCTGAACTCTGTGTGTGTGTTCTTTTCATACATGTGACATCATGGTTGAACATCTGTGCTAAATCCGCCTCCCCTCCGACCGTCAGATCTCTGGGTGGCCTCTGTCCTGCTCCGTCTGTTTCTGTGTCTACAGACACCTGCTAATTTTCGGGCGTATGTAGTTGGTGTATGCCGGCGGGGGCACAGCGGCTGGGGTGCCCTTGGAAGGGCCGCTGCAGTAATTGGGAAATACATTTCCTTTCAGCATGCCCATTCATTCATTTTTTTTTGTTGTTGTTGTCAGAGGTTTTCTTTCATGCTCGGCCAAATGACAACAGAATTAAAGTTTCGAGCCATGCTTTCCCTACAACAGCTTTACACCCACTTTGTCTTCTTTGTTAGGGGTGGAGGGTTGAAGCGAGAGGGAAGAGCAGATATAAATTGATCTCGTTAACATTCCAAGAGACACTCCTGTTCCCCCTCTCTGCTCCTCATCCTCACCTCCCACAGCATTTCTCCGCTCACACCAGGACATGAGTGGACAGGCTGGCACATAGCAGAGAAGAGGGGGGAAGATAATGGCCCTTGGGTGAGAAACAGCACTGGACTGAGGCGCATCCCACCTCTCACAGCTCTGATAATGATACTACACGGTCGCTTTGCTGAGTCTGTACGGTGGTCCAACAAACAAGAATGCATTTTATTGACTGTCTCAAGTACGTTTAGGTCTCAATTTGTCTCCCTTTATGTTCAACTGCCCTCTTCCTTTTTCTTCTCTTGCATTTGGCCTGACCCTCTTCACAAATTCTCTCCATCCTTTCTGAGAAAATCGCCCTTTACTGAAACCGCCTGGTGCACACAGAAATCATTAATGCTGACCCTAATTGTGCCAATTCCAGCAGCTCAATAGCTCTAATTACAAGGCTCTTCACTGAGGCACTCAAAAAGCAGCTGAACAATTAAAAAATATCTATAGGGACAAAGACTGAGAGAAGGGGATTGGTGGTGGTGGTGGGGGGTTAGCCATTGCAGCAAAGGGTGACCGGCTGGCCCTTTTCAGTTCTTAAAAACCCAGTTTCTGTGGATTGAGGGGTTGCTGAACTGAAGCTGAACACCTGCACTCAACACTCAGCTTCCCTAGTTCACCCTCTTTGGTCTCGCCACCTTCTTTTTGAACTGGCTTTCAATGGGCTACACAATTTATCTGAAAGGGAAAAGATGAAGAAAGCGAGAGGACAGAGAGCAAGAGGACGTGGGAGCCAGAAGTTGAGAGTTTGTAGGATGACTACTGTGGGACGAGTTTTATGAGTCCATTTAGAAAGCTTTTCTGTCAAGCTAAACAATTATGCAATATGATCAGTGGTGGAAAAGAATTCAGATCCTTCACTTATGTAAAAGAAGCAATACTGCAATATAAAAATACTTCATTCAAGAAAAAGTCTTTAGATTGAAAATGTCACTTAAGTAAAGTATTATTAGCAAAGTGTATTTTAAGTAGTGCCTACAAAGCATCAAAATGACACCCCACTCAGTGTGTATTATATTATATATTACAGCCTATTGGATTATTAGAACCGATGCATTAATGTGTAATTACCATTTTACAGTTCTATAAAAGTGTCTCATATTTTGTATGATTATCATATGTCTAATGTGTAAAATCTTTATCTGCAACACAACTAAAACTGTTAAGTGAACATAGTAAATTCAAATTACAATATTTTTCCAAGAAATTAAGAAGCATAAAGCAGCATGGAATAGGAATACTCAAATACGTCAAATAAGGAATATAATGCATAACAGTAGTATACAGTTTGTATTCATCATACATTTGATTATTTTATATGTAATTTACATACATTTGCTTTATTGTGATATATATGTATATTTATAGTGGTTAAACATCTTATTAATAATTCAATATTAATTTAAGATTTATCCAGAGCCTTTCTCTTATTCAAAGTCCATCATAATCAAACATGGGTATTTTTAAAGATGGCACCCTAATTAAATTGTGCGTTGTAATGAATTAAAAATAGTTTCACTGCAACTTGTTAAGAAAGTTTTAAGAACTACATATTTATTTTGAAAAATGTCTTAATGCTGAGTTTTTATTCATAATAGGATAGGATAATTTATGCACAATTATTAGAGATAAAGTGGCACACACAACTGTTCAATCAACCACTGAATTCACATTCTTCCAACACACACACACACACACACACACACACACACACACACACAGATCTACAAACACAGGCTGACCCCCTGCAGTGCTTGTCACAGCTATTGACTTTACTCAATAGATGTTTTCCATTCCAAGTACACAGGCTAAATGTCACGGCAGCAGGATACTTGGCTATTATAGAGCATTATGTGTCTCTGAATGGGGATGAGAACCTAGAATTTGACTTCACAATTGCTCGGTCATTGTCCCTGTTCTCAAAGACTGATGATAATGCACTGAGTGTCTCTGCAGCTGCTCAGTCTCCTGCTTCTCTCCCCTGACTGACCACAGCAGCCTTTTCTCCTCTGTGGGGAGTTTATCTTGGACCAGTTAAAAGGTGGGCGTGGCCTTTTAAACGCCATCCCTCGCTGCTATTGGACAGCTGGGAGTGTCAGTCAGCGCTGCTTCTCCTTCCTTTGCTTTTAAATGAAGTTGCAATGGATACAGGCGCGACTCAACCTGTGGAAGCCGCGATGAACAGCTGATCCTCCCGCAGTGGATAAAATCAATCACCATGATCTCCGCCAAGTCATGATTTCTCATCCGACGCGTGACACTATGTGAATAGTTATTGGAGAAACAAGTAGACAAAAGGAAAAGTAGAGTGGAGAGAGTATAGGAGTGTGTTTGGAGCGTTTTATTTTTCACGGTTTGGACCTGTTGATCATCAGTGTGACAGACGGACACACACAGTCTACCTGCCGCTACCTGCGCTGCGCTCGCCTAACATCAATTATGTTATTGTCAAGTTTTCTTCTTTTCACCTTTTCTCACTTTTTGGCGCCTCTGTTTCTGTGTTACCTGCCTCAAGTCTCCGCACAGAAGCCTGGTTCACGGGTGAGTTCATACCTGGTGTCTACCGAGCATCGTGCAAAAAGTGCCATGGCAAAATAAATGGTGTGCCAAATGTGATAATGTGTAATTATATATTGTAAAACTGATTAGATTACACATTAGCCCTAAACCTTACACCAACAATATACAAACTACAGGCTAATTTATAACTTTACTGTGTTTAGACGGCATGATTTATCGCTTTGATAAATTAACTGTACTTCCAGCTATCCTCAAGTGTTTCAACTGAAACCTATACAAGTGTAGAAACACGTGGATACATGGATATGAGACTATCCATAAGTGCGTTCAAGTGCAGACCAGGGGTACAACGAAGGTATAAGATGACCTTAATCTGTGATTTTATAGTAGCCTATAATAATAGTCCTACAAAGCAATCAATAAAGTCAATGGCCAGTCAAATTGAATGAATTTTCAAACTGAAACACAAGGACTCCAAAATAACATGTCGTGTTAATTGTAATGTTGACAGTTTAAATGCTTTTGAGCATCATGTTGTTTTTCTTTAACTCACAAACTATAACCACTTAACTTTAAAGGCCTAGTACATTTAGTAGCTACATAGTTATACACATAGTTGTAAAGGGAAAAATGTATTTTTGCTTAGTGGGCTCAGTGATCAGCTTCCCGAAAAAGACATTTAAGCGGTCTATCATTTTAATCCAGAAGAGTTAGCAATTTGTGTACTTTTTTTGTGTTGAAACCTGAACGTATGATACTCCAAACAGAGTGTAAGACATGATAACTGGCTGTTTATAAGGACTGGAATTGGAATAGTTTATTCTGTGTACTGTGATCACTAACCAGCATTTCCTTCACCTCAGCATCCCTGCTTTTATCCCTTCTACTTTTCTAGGACAGATCTTTGTCACTGTTAGGTTTCGCCATCTCTTTTTTTAAAGTCTCTCTCACACACACTGCTTTATTTGTTCCCCCCTCTTGTTGAAGCTTTTTCACAAAAACCCATGGCACTGCCCAGGTCCAGAGAGAAATAAGTGATGGGGAACAGCATTGTTTCACAGATGCAGTGTAATATTTGTGGTCGGGGGGGTGACTCGGGGAGGGGGCGAATATGTAATTCTCATACACATACACATATTGGAACTATTTCACAATGTCTTTGAAACCATCCCCCCCCTCCCTCCCTCCCTCCCTCCCTCCCTGCACAAGACACTGTGGTCAAGATGGCTCTATGGAGTCTTTGTGTAATCCCCTCTCTGTTACTTACTTTCTAATTGTTTTCCTACTGGTCAAATAATGAAAAAGTCCATGCAAAGTGTATGATATGACTGTTAAACAAGTGAGTTTGGAGTTTGTTTTATTGATTTTGTGACCAATCCAGGTAGCAGATCTGTTGTTAGCCACAAAAGAGAATACATCAAGTGATTGGAAGTTTAGAGAATAAGAAGAAAGGTGATTTTATCTGACTTTTCTGTGACTAACAACCTATCTGAGTTGTCTTGTGGTAGTCCAAACTGCTTATTCTACTTATTTCTTTCTATTCTAGCTTTAGTTAAAATGATTATATGCTCCTCTGCAGTCTCAGAAACTCTATCAGCCTCAGCCTTTTCAAAACCACACTGGATAAACTCCAACATAGAGGCAGATTTGAAAACAAGGCTGCTTCTTAGTCCTCAAAAAGTTGACACTTCAAGAGACAAAAGCTTTTTCAGCAGTAGGAATAAATGCTGAAATGTGTCCAAGGCTTGTAGCATCTCTATCAACTTTATCCCCATAGGACTGAACACTGTCTCCGCATCCACTTTATCCTCCTCCTGGCCTGGACCGGGCACAGAGGAGGAGCTGCACACCCCCACCACAGTAGATACTTTTAACATTGCTCACAGCTGCCGTAATACCAGAATTCACACCCCCACTTTCCACATTGATATCAGGGGTGAAAGCCTGAGCTAACTTCACTGCATAGCACTGCTCCTTTCTCATTTCCCTGGAGGCTCCATGACGCAATAAGTGCAAAAGTTTCTCAAAACTGGGGAATATGAGTAACTGGGACACTTACAAAGCGTTAGACAATATAAACCTTTTATCTTGTGATTGCTGCTGTTTGTGCAGTTCAGATAGGTCTGTCTGTCCCACTCCCTGTGTAAATTTGATGTCTCCTTTCGTGTTTTACCAAATTGTTCATCGGCTAGAGAGAGGGCAGCACCACTCAGAAGATGAGGATTGTGCGATGATGGTTAAGGATGGTGGTCAGGGGGGGTGACTCAACAAAATGTGAAACCACCTTTATGATCTCATCAGCAGACTTTTTTTTTAATTCTTAATGTGAAATTATGCTTTTTACAATCTAAGAAGATTCTAATAAAAAGGTCTTAATGACAGCAACAACATATTTTGTACTAGGAATGATCTGTCTAACAAGCAGGCAGGTGGTGGGCAGGCTGACACAGTCTCATTTCCTACAATTTTTAAACTAAGAAATGTGTTTCGGGGGGCAGGGGCTGTATTCAGAAATGAGGTGTAACAATCACTTTTACCCATCTATCCTTAATCCCCTTCATCAAACCAATCTGTTGAGTGCCAGGGATGGGATGAGATGAACAGTCAACCTGCATACTTTGGTGACAGCATCAGTGAAGACTCAAACTCATTGAAAAACAAACATAAACAGCTAGGCCTGAGCGGCAAAGCTTTCAAGACTGCATACCTTCAGCTTGGGAAAGCAGAGCCCCAGTTCAAAAGTAGGAAAGCCTTTTTATTGGTGTGAGGTAGATCATAGCCACAGTGCAGGTGTGAGTGGTCTGCATGTGCGTATGTTGATGCATGCAAGCATATGTGTAATTGTCGTAGGGTCAGCTAATGACTCCAAGCTAATGACTTTTAATTATGCTTACATTGCACAAAGGAATGAGGACTTTTTTAAGTGAGAGAACACTGCAGATATTAAAGTTTTATATTTAAAGGTCTAATTCACCCCAAAATGGCAATTAGTGGTGTACTAAACATGTTAGGGTTTAGTTTCAGTATCTTGTGATTCTTTATAGGCCCATTATTTTCACTTATGTGGAGAAATCATACGAGACGAAGGCATTGCAGTAGAGGGAGAGATAACACGTTTCTCCCTGCTGAATGCAATGCATTTTCTCACTTGTGCATTTTCGCACTTGTGTTTTCTCCTACGCTTAAAAGAAACAGCAAGTTCACCTCCCTTATGTGAAAGGGAGTTTGGCGTAATGAAAGAAATCAGGGAGTGAAGATGAAGCAGATGATTCAGTTTGAGAGAAAGCGGGTGCAACACCAAAGTAAATAGCAAACCAAAGAATAGAATAACAAAAATAGACAGAAAATGTGAATGTGTGGAAATTCAGCAGAATAAGGACATAATTAAGAAGTATCCAATCCATTCTTTGTAAGTATTTGGCTACTGGACACAAGATATGACAGATCAGAGATTTAGTATTTATTTATCAAACTGTACTGGGTTGATATTTTTAATCAGTAGCATCGTTTTCTGCAGGCAACAGGCAAGATAGCAGAAAATTAAAACAATGATGAAGAAATGCAACAAATGGACTGGACTTTTAAGGAATCCTAACCATTCCTGCAATGTGCTGGGACTGTTTGTCAGTACGTGGGACAGCTGTTCAAATGAGAGCTCTCCAGAACAATTTAGATACAGTAAGGGCTAAAAGCAAGGATATTCCGAGCTACATACAGAATAGTCAATGTGAAAAGATCCACAACCAACAAACCATCTTGCCTTAATAAGAAATCTTTCTTACAGATCATTGAATGAGGGAAAAGATGTACTTAAAAAAAAGGATGTTATCCTGATTTTGTCATGACAACACAGGAGGCTTCTCTGTAATCACTGCCTTTCCAAAAGAAGTACAATATTCTGGCAAAGGTGTATCTAACTGGGAGTGAATGAAGTGAAGTAAAAGCAGAATTACTGATTTAGTACGCATGCACATCATAATTATGAGAATTTACATACTCAAAGGAATAAGATATGTTACTTGTATCCTCTGGACACAATGAAGTTGTGTCAAGGAAGACCAGATAAAATGTATTTCTAAAAAAGTAAGTACAAAGGGCTTTGATGGAAATGACGGATAGCTTGAAGAAATAGACAGGAAATAAATAAGTTGAGCTAATGTGTACAAAACTACATAGAAGGATATGTATTATTAGAATAACTTTTACCTGTATTACATAGTAATTTGTTGACATTAGCATGAAACAGAGAAAGAGCAGAGATATAGAGAGTGAGAAGTTTGTCCCTTAATAATCCATAATCGCACAGATGTGCAGTGCACATTTCTCCATTTAGTCTTTATGGGAAAAAACATTCTTGGCAAAGTGATAAGGTCATAGTTTGGCATCACCATCTTCTGTGAAGAGAAGTCATGAAATACAAACCTTTCAGATTAACTTTGTCCTGACGTTTTGTTCAGCAGCAGTTTCTGATTAGGCACTTAAAGGAAAACTCCCTAAAAACAGTTATTGGTGGTGAAGCTTGTGGTTTTGGGTTCTTTTGTTGTATGGTGGTGTGAGTTTGAATACTGATGGAACAACAAACATATGCATGATTTTGCTGTTCTTAGAACCTTGCTGGTCCTGCTTAGTATAGTGCAATTGAACTGATGAGGGAAACAGAAACTGAAAAGGTTTGTTCCTCTGGAGACCATGCATGTGCTCCACCACCAGCCTGTTGCATTATACTATTGTATGTGCACACTGAAATTATGGTGTAATGGTGGTGCTAGGAAAAAAGGCCATAGTATTAACAAACACAGACTTTCTATCCTATGAGGACCATGAATATCATGGCAATCTAGTCGTAACAATTAGATTTTTCTTGTTTTTAAAGTTTGCATAAGGGAGGCATACGGCTTCAGGGTGGTGTTAGAGGAAATGTCATATAATTATAGATATAGACATAGACATAGATAGATATATAAATCTATGACAATCCATCCATAAGATGACGTTTCTTGAGTAGAAGTGAAATTTTGGCA